TCTATATGTAGGGATGTCTTAGCTAGTTCAGTGTTGATCTAGTGGTGATGTACTAGCTAAATGGACTGTTCTAGTATGATAGATTTGATGTTAACCCCCAACCAAGCCGGCCCAACACTGGAAATATTGAGTACAAAAATGTATTTGATGTTTATAACAACCAGGCCGGCCCAACATTGGAAATCTGAAGTACAAAAATATATTTGGTTTTTATAACACCCCGGCCGGCCCAACACAGACAAAATGATCGACGTGTATGTATTTGGTGTAGGTTTGTGGTTGTAAATGATAAAAAATTGACGCCCACCCGGTCACTGTACGCGGGCGTGTCCGCTGACGTATAGGGAGCCGAATTATGCAATTCCGGTTGCAGTTGTAGATGCTCTAAATGGGCGATGCTCGTGCTGTTTGTTTTTTCCTTTTACGGAATATTATTGCAGAATGCGTGCGCAAATATCTTTATTTATCTTCTTTTAAAAGTGACAGGAGAATGTCTGAATGTATTGGGACTTTTCTTGCTTGAGCCGAGCGGTGCTTGGTTGGCCACGCGAGGCGCCAAAGTGCATGGACCCACGTTAAACGGTGATATCAACGCACGGTTTGAGATTTGATCTGTAATTTACGGGGAGGCAATCCGAAACTAGAAAACCAGCCAATTGCTGGGCGGCAGGCCGCCAGGTGTCATCCGGATATGGTGGGCTCGGTCGCCACGTCAGCCCATGCATGCGTGGCCCCGCTACCCAGCGACGTAGAACAGACACAGGCACGAGAATAAATATCAGAGGGAGGGAGGGGGAGAGAGAGAGAGAGAGAGAGAGAGAGAGAGAGAGAGCAATGGAGTCCGACATGGAGATGAGCTTGGATTTCTCTTGGGAGACGCCTAGCTTCTTCGAGCTCTGCGACGCAGATAGGTGAGTCTGCATGCAGCTAGCATAAACACCGTAGCCCACTCGATCTGCTTCTTGATCTTGCGGTGACAGTTCTAATCCATCTTTCGTGCCTAGTACCCTTAAGTAACCGTTGGAGTTGGATGGATTCTTGCAGCATGCACCTGCCAGCTGAGGACTCTCTGTCCTGTCTGTACGAGCACGGCGACTCAACTAGCTCGCCGGACGGCGCCAACTCGGGGCTGACGAGGAGGTGGGCTGGCAGGAACATGCTCAACGAGAGGGACCGGCGCAGGAGGCTCAACGAGAAGCTCTACGCCATTCGCGGCGTCGTTCCAAACATCACCAAGGTTTCATTTACGGACCACTACGGGAAGAACACTTTTGTGTGCGTGTTTATGCTGCGGTCTAATTTGATCCTGTTTCTGTTCCGGGCGTTAGATGAACAAGGCGTCCATCATCCAGGACGCCATCGCCTACATCGAGGAGCTGCAGGAGCAGGAGCGCCAGATTCTCGCCGCCCCTGGAACAGATGGCTGCGCCGCCGTGGTCCAGGCGGACTCGACCGTGGACGACGGGGTCGGCTCCCCGCCACGGACTACCTCCACCTCCTCCATCTGTTCCCCTTCCCCGCATCCGGTCCAAATCCTCGAGGTAATTATAACTTCATCTGTCGCTGACGGCTGAAAGGGAGTTAGGAATAAGAATGAGGTGAGAGAGATATGTGATAGCAAAGCGAGACTGCCAGAGTGGATTTTTTGCGCTTGGGCTCTATTTTCAAGCATTCAAAAATCAACCTATTAAGTTTCAAAAAATCTGAAAAGATACACAAGTACTTATAGATGTATACGAGATCTGTGTTAAATTTCATCATGAAACACGTTTTTATGTGGCTAGCTTGTACAAAAAATCATGTACTTTTATACTCTATAGACATGGCGAGCGAGGACATGCCCGCCCATCATGTGAAATTGATGGTTATTTCATGACAAAATCATGTACTTTTGTAGATGGTTCTTTCAAAAATGTGAAATTGATTTTTTTTTTCATATATAGACAGTTGTCGCTCTCTTTTCACTCAACTACAGACTAGGACATGCCCTGTCTCTAAATTATCTCTCCTCTCACCCTCTCATAATCCATCACTTTTATTTACTTCTGATCATTTAGGATATTCATAACCTTAAAACCAAAAAAACATGATTTTTTTATATGTTTGAACATTGTTGAGGAAATCGTTAACTGGTAGCTGCTTGGTCGGCTGGTGAGTATGGGATTAATAGGCTAATCGGTCATCTAATCAATTAATCGGACGATTTATCGGGTAATTGGCTACTCGGGGACACTATGAGTAGGGATTAACCGGCAAGTTAACTGGTTAATCAGATGAATTCTTGAACAGGAACTCTAGATATAAGATCTTCGGAACATACCAATTGCCAATATATTTCAAACAAGTTTAGTTTAAGTTGTTCCAGTTCAATTTGTCAAATTGATTATTTAAAATATACAAAAAATATGTTTTTCGTACATAAGATCCATATTTTGTTTGTGAAGCTGCTTATTTCATTGTGTGAAACTGTTATTTGTGAAATATAACTGAAAGTGAAATATGAAATTAGTTTTTTTAACCAAGTTAAATCAATTTTTTGAAATGAGAAAAATATGTTACTATAATGAGTGAAACCAATTTTTAAATGAGAAAAATCAGATTTTTGAAATGCATCAAGTGTTTTTTATTGTAGAAATTAATTTTTTAAATGGGTCAAATCAATATTGGAAAATGTCTAAGTTAGTTTTTGAAATGAGTGAACCATGTTTCTTGAAATGAGTGATATAAATTATCAAATGATTGAAACTAGTTTTTCAAATTCAGCAAAATTAGTTTTTTGAAATAAGGGGAATCCGCCTTTTGAAAATGAATGAACTATCTAATTTAGTTTGACCAGTATTTAAATATGTGAAATATGGTTTTGACATAAGTGGAATTATTTGTTTGAATTGGTGAAATAAATTTTAAAAATGACTGAACTCAATCGAGTGAACTTCTAGTTTTTCAAGAGAATAAAATTGATTGTTTCAAGTTAGTTAAATAAGTTTTTGAATTGAGTTAAATTAGTTTTTTGAAATGACTGGAATGGGCTTTTTGAATCATTTTTACTATTTGGTTAAATTGAGTGAAATTAGTTTCTTTAAGTTAGTGAAATTGGTTTTTTGAAATAATTTAAATCTATCCTAAAAAATCTGAAAAATATTTTTTTTCATGTATGAAAAAACTTACAGTGTTTGTAAGATGCTTATTTTTTTGTGTGAAACTAATATTTGTGAAATCTAACTGAAATGGGAATATAATATTTATCAATATGCTTATTTCCCCGTGTGTATAACTGAAATAAGCTGGTTCAGAAGGTATCATAGTTAAGTTTCAGTAATTTTTGGAATAGTGAGACAATTTGAAATCACATTTTGAAATAATGAAACAATTGAAATCATGTTTTAAATAGTGAAATAATTGAAATCACCTTTTGGAAATTTTCTTTTAACCATTTTAATAGTGCAACCTTTGATATCATTATTTGAAACAACAACATTAAATATTTTTTAACACGGTGTTAGTTTTGCATTTTGAAATACCGAAACTATTGAAATCACCTTTTATGAATAGTTAAAAATTGAAATCACCTTTTTAAAAAGTTAAACTATTGAACTGCCATTAGTTTTAGTTTCACTTTTACAAATATCTGACAAAAGTTAGGTTGTTGTGTGCATGTCGTTATAGTCATGTACTTATTGGCAAGCATGTATTCGTCACATCGATCTTTGATTCATCACTTGAGCTAGTGGCATTGCTAGATATATGAATTCTGTGAATCTACCATGTGAAATGAGAAGAAAATGATGAGAGGGAGAAGGCCACATTTGTGGACCACACACATGAAACATGTATATTAGCAAGTTGGTACTCTAATTGACTTCGGTTGTTATGGTATTTACCTGAAATGTGGTACCAACATAGTATTAACATGCAATCATATTAAGAGAATCAATTGAATAGACACTCCTAATGCAGGGTTTGGTAGGAGAATTCTAGAATAATTAAATCAAGTACTAACCCACTCTGAATCTAGTATTTCTATTGAAAATCTCAATAGGCTTGTAAAGAAGTATTGAAATGCACAAAAGATAGATATTATTTTGATTAATTATTTCTAGAGCTTATGTTTATGCATGCACCATGTCTTAGACAATGAGAAGATTTGGGATAGAGGGCAAATGTGGGGCAACTTTATGTAACAACACGGTGAAAATCATACAACTGAATGACCATTAAATAAACATATAACTTTACAAGTTGTGCAGCTAGAGGTGATGCAGGTGGTAGAGGATCTGGCAGTGGTTAACGTGAGACATAGAAAAGCGCAGGAGGCCATGGCGAAGGTGTATGGGGTGCTCGAGTCGCTCTGTCTCAATGTCATCACGGCAAGTGTGACCGTCGTGTCCGACAACATTGTCCACAACATGTTCATCGAGGTAACCACCCATGATTTGCCCCTTTCCGTTCTAATTAATTTATCCTATTGTTCTCTAGATTTCCCGAACAAAATGATTGCTCCTATCTCTTTCATCGAGTTTTCTAGAAATCTTTAGGGTCAGGTCGCCACCTGATTGATGGCGGCATATGGCAAGTCCACTATTTTTAAGACGTTCATTGGGATTCTTGATGTGCCTGGTGAAGGAAACAGGATAGACTACACTAGCCCAAATAAAAATATCCTCATAAAACAGATTATGTCGTAGTTCTATATAATGCGGTTACTATGAAGTTGTTGCAGAAGTAGAGTTAATGTAGAGCGTTGGTGAAATTGTAGTCATACTATTGTCTCCTCCTCACGGTTCCCAAAAATGTTTTATCCAACCTTCACATCCGCAATGCCTCTAAGGCATCCACATCTTTGGGATGGAGCGTCAGTCGCCTAAATTGTTAGAACCGGACGGGACACTTTGAGCATAGGAGAAGTGAAGGCCGCTTTATGGGAATTCAAAATTTGCTAACCCTAAAACACTTCCCTCCTTATTATACTTATATAGACGTTTCCATAATGAAATACTACACTGGAGATCCATCAAGACTCAATGCTCGGTCTAACTCCGATTGTAACCCAAATTAGGCTCCGACCACTTAAGTGTGATAAACCTAGGCTCTTGCATTATTAGATATGATTGGAATATTCCTACTCAGTCACTAGTTGGTAAATGCCCCTAGAAGGAGACATAAAGACGGTAGAGATGAGCATTAATTAACAATGTTACATGAAAATTCCTCCCCCCCACAATATTTTTCAGGCTCAGGTTGAACCACTCTTTCTCGATCACATGACTAGGAATACTATATCAGGTTAACTCTGTAATTTAAGCAGTGCGGACATGAATTACAACTTGTGACCACCCCACGGACCTAGAGATATCTATCCCATTGCAGAGATTGACAAACCCCATCTTAACTGACCACGCCATAGAACATGCTTCACGAAAAATAAGAAAGAAAACTTTATAGTGATCCAGTACATCGTAGCATTTGGTGTCTCATAAGTAATTCACTAGACATCGCAATTACATGTGATAATATAGTATCTATTGACATAGCTTACACATTACAAGAGAAAATTAGAAAACAACCCCGCTATGTTTTAAGTTGGTCCTGTCCAACTCCATGTTCCTAACATGTGTTCATATTATTGGCTCGACATGTCTATGTCCATGTCCTACGAAACATCCCATCAACATGTTATAAAACAATATCAGATCTATTGACATGTGCTAGTGTATTTTTTATTTGTGTTCTCATATGATTTCCGACAAAGGACAAGTGTAGAGTAATCACTCAAGCATAGAGTTGCTGCAAACAAGTCACATAGTTGCCAATCAATGGAAATGATATTATTTAAGGAACACCCCCCATTCCATAATATAGTGCGCCCATGCTTTTTGAGATTTAACTTTGACCATAAATTTAACCAACATGGGCGACTATGGTGAGAGCATGACAGATAACTTTGAATTCGTATTCGAAAGAAGTTTTCAAAGGTATAATTTTTTAGTAAAGTTATTTATGTATTATTGGTGTAATTTCTGGTCAAAGTTGAATCTTGAAAGGTGTGGGCGCACTACATTATGGAATGGAGGGAGTATTATACTTCATCAGAAAAGTAAGAGAATCTTCATGTCATCTTATTTTTCTATAACCCCATTCAAAGTGTTTGTGTTTCACTTTTTGGCTTTTTGGCATTGGACGATTATGACATAGGCACACATAGTAAGAATATGTTATATATGTTTTCTAGGCAATAGACATGAGTTATTTAAAACCCATTGAGAAATAACAGTAAACATGAATTTTAGGCATGAGTTCAAGGTTTGTGTAAAAATCTTGTAGTCCAATATTATTAGGTTTTGGAAAATATTTTCCAATTTGATTTACCCTAAAAGACATTCTAATCTACTTTTTTCATGCATCGTCTAACAGAGACGCTGCGAATAAACCCTAACCACCAACAAAGAATCATTCAACCTTTAAATTTTCAAAATTTACCTATGTCTTTGATACCTAATATAGAGACAAGAGGCAACACAACCACGAATCATCTAATATTTAGTCTGGGGTACATTATTTGTTAGGTTTGTGTGCTTTGGTGGTGGAGATGGTGCCATGTTGAATAAATGTCTCCTCGTTCCACTGATCTCCTAGAATGACTCCCGTGGTCTAATAATGGACACAAATCTCATAACTTGCCACTTCGTGCTTTCATCTTATTCCTCGTCAATTTAGAATGGGTTTGAGAACATGTCTTGTGAGGTGCGCATCCCCGAACAAGCCCCATTCCAAAGATTATAGCTTCTCTCTTCATGTGGTGTGTGTCTCTTGACGCTCTTCAAAACATATGGACTTAGTCTAGCTTGTGTGGGCTTGGCATTTTGTGCCTAGGTCATCGCAATACATAGGAAAACATCAAGTTACGAAAGAGGGAACGAATGATGTAGGCTAATTAACAAGAATTTTGGTAGATATTTTTTCTATCAGAGACAATTGTTGTTGGTGTTGATTTCAATTTTTTATGAATCGCTATAGCTAGATCGTTATTCTAAAAATATTACCAAAAAACATGGTGTGTATCACATTTGATAATTATGCTTGATCATGTTGTGAGTTCATATTACTATGTATGTAGTTGCATGAGCTTGCATTGTGGCATAGTGATTGTGAACACATTCTTTGCACGTATGTGGTGCTAGTGTTTCCTAGGAATGAATTATCTCTTAAAGAAAAACTGGGTGGGCTATCTCATGTGTTAGGCCATGGTTAATTAGGGCCAATTTAAATGAGTTCTCACTTAGGGGTTTTCTCATGCTTCAATTTGGAAAAGAGTCGGGATTGATCCTAAGGTTTGTGCCCATTAGAAAAAGTCATCTAGCTAGGCTACAACTTCCGAGAGGATACACCAACATCTTTCTTGTTATTTTTTTATATGAGGTAGCGGTATCTCGATATTTCGTTGTGACAAACTTCTTTTGAACGAAAAATCAACCTTGACGACCCGACCATGCTGGACACTAGCCAGTGTGTCTTGCAAACCGCTAGACCAATCCCCTAGAGGTCACCGACGATGCCAAAGGCATGGCAAGCCTGGATGCAAAGGTTTAATATCCGCGACCGATCGAGAACAAACAAGAATTACAAATTGTAATCCAATATTCTGAGTACGGATTAATATGATTAAGTTGGGTTCTTGAAAATTGATTCATCGAAATTTGTTGGACACGTGCATTAATATTTGTGTGCACATATTTCACAGTATTTTGTGTAAATATTAGCAGGCATTAATATTATTTAAATAAATCTAGTTGTATTTTTCAGACGGATGGAATGGATTGTGCTCAAACGATCAAGGAGATGGTAAAGTCTCACTCAGTCATCTCAATGTGAGAAGAAGATCACCGAAGTCCATGAATCCCTAATGAAGATTAGATGTTGCAAAGAATGCACAAATTGGCAGCCCAATTACCTACACCTTGTTCAGTTTCACTCTCATACTATAGTCATCTTCAAATAATGTGACAACAGTTGAAACTAACTATATGGCTGAAGAAATAGTCATGTTCTATGGACTTAATGCCAGCATGCACTCTATATAAATTGGAAATTATGCAAAAACATATGGTATATCCTCTCTGATTATGAGGAACACTCATGTGTGTGCATGTATTTCTTTGAATAGGAAATTTCACTTTTGGTCCCCTAAGATTGAGTTTGTGACACCTTTTGTCCTAGTTAGCTCAATGTCCTCTAAGATTGAGGCAACCCCTCAATGAGAGTGATGCTTAGTAAAAACTTATTATTTAAAAGGGACCAAATAAAATAATTGACCCAACTAATAGTGAATTTATAACTTAGTTCGTGAGGCATTGAACAAGAGTTAGATGGATGATTCAAAGTGATAGGAAAGTACATTCACAATATATTTATATAGAACTTTGTCAAAAGGTTTCATAGTGATGTCTTTGGTCACATGTGGCTAGCAACTAAGGCTTACATGGACACTTCTTTTTAGTACCACATGAACAAGGTCTTGGAAACAGATCCAAGTGTTGGTGAGTATTTGAACACATATCACTCATTGTTGTGCATGAGGTGCAAATTTAATATTGACATCAAGTGTGATTACATTCATAAAATCCTCTTCAAGTCATTCAGTAACTGGGTTAAGGACTACGAAGCATGTCCGTTGACGAGTTAGCTATCACACTGAGAGACACAATTATGATACTTATGAACAAGAGGATAACAATTGGATACTTTCTTGAAGGTGAGATGCTACCTGTTGCCACTCAAAAAGTAAACAATAGAAGTAGAGGACATGGGCACTTGAAGACATGTAAGTCCTCTAATACAATGGCTAAGGTGAGGGATACTGACAAAAAGAATCTTAGAATTGTTGTGGAACTTGATGAACATGGCTGCACTTGTCTTGACTGGCAACACATAGGGCAAACTTGAGGAACATGGGTGCACTAGTTTTTCTCATGGAAAGCATGAACTTGAAGTTGGACCACTATGTACATGAGTATTTCTCTCTTGACAGATTTTGGGCTGTGCACTAGTAAGAAAAACCTTATAGGAATAATACGTTAGTGGAGCATCACCATTTCTGGACGTCGGCGCTATTCTGGCAAAATAGCACCAATGTCGGAAATACGCGAGGCGCCGCAAACATCAGCTCCTTACATGTGTGTGCCGTACTACAAACCTTAGTAGTTCATTGATACATCCATTTTGCATCATGTTTTTCTACTCTTATTTATAATATTTTTATGCATAATAACAATTTATGGAGTAATTCTAATGCCTTTTCTCTCATAATATGCAAGGTTTACGCAAAGAGGGAGAATACCGGCAGCTGGAACTCTGGACCTAAAAAAGCTATGTCAGATATACCTATTCTGCACATCTCCAAATGAGCTGAAATTTTACAGAGAATTATTTTGGAATATATAATAAATATTGGAGAAGATAACTACCAGAGAGGGGCTGCTAGGTGCCCACAAGACACCAGGGCGCACCAACCCCCCCAGGCGCACCCTGGTGAGTGGTGGGCAGCCTGGTCCACCTCTGGTGCCCATCTTCTAGTATATAAGGTCTTTTAACCTAGAAAAAATAAGGAGAGAAATTTTGGGAGGGAGCACTGCCGTGTCGAGGCGGAACTTGGGCAGGAGCACTTTTGCCCTCCGGCGGAGTGATTTCGCCGGGGAACTTCCCTCCCGGAGGGGGAAATCGAAGCCATCGTCATCACCAACAACCCCTCATCTTTGGGAGGCCAATCTTCATCAACATCTTCAACAGCACCATCTCATCTCAAAACCCTAGTTCATATCTTGTGTTCAATCTTTGTACCGGAATCTCAGATTGGTACATGTGGGTGACTAGTAGTGTGTATTACATCTTGTAGTTGATGCTATATGATTTTTTGGTGGAAGATTATGTTCGGATCCATTATGCTATTTAATACCCCTCTGATCTTGAGCATGAATATTATTTGTGAGTAGTTACTTTTGTTCTTGAGGCCACGGGAGAAGTCATGTTGCAAGTAATCAGGTGAATTTGATATTCGTTTGATATTTTGATGATATGTATGTTGTGATTCCCTTAGTGGTTTTATGTGAACGTCGACTACATGACACTTCATCATCTTTGGGCCTAAGGGAATGCATTGTGGAGTAGTTATTACATGATGGGTTGCTAGAGTGACAGAAGCTTATATCCTAGTTTATGCGCTATTTCGTAAGGGACTGATTTGGATCCATATGTTTAATGCTATGGTTAGATTTTATCTTAATACTTTTCTCATAGTTGCGGATGCTTGCGAGGGGGTTAATCATAAGTGCGAGGCTTGTTCAAGTTAGAACAGCACCCAAGCACCGGTCCACCCACATACCATATTATCAAAGTAGCGAACGTGAATCAAACCAACATGATGAAAGTGACTAGATGAAATTCCCGTATGTTCTCAAAAACGTTTGCTTATTATAAGAGATCATTTTGGCCTATCATTTGCCACAAAAGGATTGGGCTAACGTGATGCACTTTATTTACCATTACCGTTACTTGCTCATTAAAAATTATTTTGCTATCAAACTATCTGTTACCTACAATTTCAGTGCTTGCAGAAATTACCTTGCTGAAAACCGCTTGTCATTTCCTTCTACTCCTCGTTGGGTTCGATACTCTAACTTATCGAAAGGGCTACAATTGATCCCCTATACTTGTGGTCCATCGTTCATGGACCATAGCAAGCATAAATAGTAGTGGCGTCTATGCACACCAATGCCATTAACATATTAATAAATAGTGGCGTTTATCTCCACGTCCGCCGCCAACGCCACAAGTTCTTTGTCCCTGGCCCACTAGCGGCGCCTGGTATCTCTTGATAACACACAAGTATAGGGGATCGCAACAGTTTTCGATAAGTAAGAGTGTCGAACCCAACGAGTAGCTAAAGGCAAAGCAAATATTCCCTCAAGTTCTATCGACCACCGATACAACTCTATGCACGCTTAACGTTCGCTTTACCTAGAACAAGTATGAAACTAGAAGTATTTTGTAGGTGTTGTTGGATAGGTTTGCAAGATAATAAAGAGTACGTAAATAAAAAGTAGAGGCCGTTGTAAGTAAAGAAGCAATAAAGTAATTATAACGAGTGTGGAAAAGTGATGGTAGAAGTTGCGAAATTGCCCCTAAGCAATTGACTACTTTACTAGACCGATAGCAAGTATTATGTGGGAGAGGCCACTGCTAGCATGCCATCCCTGACTTGGAATTCTATGCACTTATGATTGGAACTATTAGCAAGCATCCGCAACTACTAATGTTCATTAAGGTAAAACCCAACCATAGCATTAAGGTATATTGGTCCCCCTTCAATCCCGTATGCATCAATTTCTATGCTAGGTTGAAGCTTCTGTCACTCTTGCCCTCCAATACATAGTCCTATCAACATACAACTAACCCTAGGGTGTGATCCACGCGCGCAATCAAATGATGGGCACCAAAGGACAGCAATATAATCACAAGCAAATTAAATCAATCATAGCAATTCATCAACCACCGATAGGACAACGAAAATCTACTCAGACATCATAGGATGGCAACACATCATTGGATAATAATATGAAGCATAAAGCACCATGTTCAAGTAGAGGGTACAGCGGGTTGCGAGAGAGTGGACCGTTGTAGATAGAGGGGGGAAGGTGATGGAGATGTTGGTGAAGATGGCAGAGGTGTTGGTGTAGATCGCGGTGATGATGATCATGGCCACGACAACGTTTCGGCGCCACCGGAAGAGAACGGGAGAGGGGGCCCCTTCGTCTTCTTCTTCCTTGACCTCCTCCCTAGATGGGAGAAGGGTTTCCCCTCTGGTCCTTGGACTCCATGGCATGGGAGGGGCGAGAGCCCCTCTGAGATTGGATATGTCTCTCTGTCTCTCTCTGTTTCTGTGTTCTATTATGTTGCCCTTTCACCGTTTCAGGTATATATGGAGATCTGTAACTCCGATTGGATCGAAACCTTCGCCGTGATTCTTTTTCTGAAAATTAGCTTTCTTGCGGCCGAAGAAGGGTATCAACCGCATTATGGGTGGCCCATGAGGGTCAGGGGCGCGCCCCCCTGCCTCGCGGCCACCTCGGGCACCGTCTCGCGTGGATTTTTCTTCCGGATTTTTCCAAATATTCCAAAAATAAGCTCCGTCCGTTTTTATCCCGTTTGGATTCCGTTTGATATGGATATTCTGTGAAACATAAAACATGTAACAGACAGGAACTGGTACTGGGCACTGGATCAATATGTTAGTCCCAAAAATAGTATAAAAAGTTGCCAAAAGTATATGAAAGTTATAGAATATTGGCCTGGAACAATAAAAAATTATAGATACGACGGAGACGTATCAGTATCTACCCACTGCCAACGAGCGTCTTGACTAGCGTTGGCATATGTATCCCCGCTAGTATTTAATTAAGGGTAGCAATCCACACGAGGAGACTTCCGCATCACATTCAGCAGAGTGTTGTGGCCTTGAGTTTTGTGGCGTCTTTATAGAGGTCGGCGCCACTAATACGCGACACAAAAAATATCAAAATAGTAATGTGGTCAAAAAAAATAGTGTGAAACCAAATATGTTTTGACTTCTCGCGAATGATGTCCTTATCCCATTTTTCACTATATATATGCCTTGCCATTTGATCATTCAAAGGCATTGCCCCCATCTCTCTCTCTCTCTAGTCTTTCTCCCCCACGTACGCCAACTGACCGAAGAGCATCCCAATGGCAGCGAACAACAATGTCGTCCCTGGCTCGGGCATTGTTTTCAGATTGCCTGGAGATAATACAGGATGAGAATAATATTCTGATAACTAGTCGACCCATCGCATTAGTAG